TTGACGAACATGTGTACAGGAACGTGAAGAAGGAGGGCAGTAAAACAGTTCTTTAAAAATTTACAGTCAAAAAGTATCTCTCCCCGGCCGGGAATTGAACCCGGGTCTCCCGCGTGACAGGCGGGGATACTGACCACTATACTACCGAGGATTGGCTGAAAGCAACACGGCAAAATAGCAGGCTGTACAGTGGAGGGCATACTCCAGCTATCATCCAAGTTGAAACATACACACGCTAAAACGTGACCACTTGGCATGCCCTTTTCTGTGAGAGACACAGAGCTGTCACTGTACATTTCCATACATATTCAAATTCCCAACAGAAATGGAGAGCAATATACTACCAAGAACATCCGTCATACATACAGGCATTGGTGGCATTGACGAACATGTGTACAGGAACGTGAAGAAGGAGGGCAGTAAAACAGTTCTTTTAAAAATTTACAGTCAAAAAAAGTATCTCTCCCCGGCCGGGAATTGAACCCGGGTCTCCCGCGTGACAGGCGGGGATACTTTTTTTTTTTTTAAAACATTTATTCACATGATGAGATTATTACAGATGCAGACAGTGCTGACACTACCACCCAAAATTTAAAAGAGTTATCACAGAGTTTAGGTGGCAGCGACTAACAGTTCATTTCTAAAGGCAGGAAAGATATTCAATAGTTTTGTACAGTTTTATAACAATATGCATTTATGACTATACAACACATTTCAAGTGAAAACAGTTTTACTCCTTAGAAATATATACTTAACGGTGAAAAGCATCTTAATCTAACGGATCGTTTAGAACAACCTCATTTCCGTTCAACTCCATGTATGTGTTGGTCATAATGTATTTTTGAATGAAGATGTGTGATTGATTTACTTTCGAATATTTAAACAGCAAATATCTAAAATGGCGCCTTATCATAGTCTTGAATAATGCCCTCACATCAAATGAGATGGTGTTGTGACTTGTCATTATAACTCTCCTTTTAAATACAGACAGACGATATATTGACAATACAATATCTATGAATGGTTTACATGATAATTTCTTTTCTGGTAGGAATCCGAACAGTAACCAGAGTGACAGCTGTCCAAAGGTAAACCCTGAATCATGGCACACATCTGTCAACATTTCAATTACTATTGTTTGCAAGGAAGATAACTCTTTGCAATAGATGAAGAGATGTAAAATGTCTTCTGTTTCACTTAGACACACTGGGCAAACATCTGTGTTTGACAGTCCAATTTTCGAGAGTTTTTCATATGTAAAGACAATATTATGAGCAATTTTGAAATCTAACTCTACAGAATCTGATGATTTATCTGTTTGCCATACATTTAGCCAAATATCTTTCCAATTAATATCTAAGGCAATGTTATCCCACCAGCAGATAGCTACTGGTTCCTTGAAATATTTTTTCCTGAAAATTTCATAACAATATTTAGCTGTAAATACTTCAACAGATACATCCTGTTCAGCAATTGTGCAGATAATGTCCCTTGAGGGAAGTTTTTGCCAACAACAGATAAAATGATCCTTTTCCACTCTGACGGAAGCGCATATAAAATAATCCTATAACATTGTTGTATTGTACTTGTGTCTATCTCAGGTAAGGTGTCATGGACTATTTTCTCAATAATTTGTTCAGACATGAATTTGGGAATGACTTCCAAGCAAATATGTTTAATACAAATAATCCCACTTGAAATGAACGATTGAAACATGAGAGTTTTTCCATTAAATGTAATCAGTGGATTTTTAAACAGTGGTTGATTCATTATATCCATTATATTGCGAAGTAATGGTCTTTTTCCTTCATTAATTTCATTCCATGCAGCGAAAAGCTCAGCATAAAAAGGGCTTATATTCTGTAAGTAAGACTTATCATATTCAAGAGATAAGGCATGAACTCCCAAGTTCATTGTCAGGAGATGAGACATAAAATATTCCATGGTTTGTTTCCAAATACAGCTGAGCTGGCTATTGACGAAAGCTCTCAACAATTTTAGCCTCAATGCATATTTTTTTAAACGTAAGCTTGGAAGATTTAAACCTCCATCAACACAAACACCAATGCAAGTATCAAATGCTATTTTGGCAGTCTTATTGTGCCACAAAAACTTCCTAAACATCTGAGCAAATTTATTTTCAACCCACTGTGGAACAGGTATTACAGTAAACATATACCACAAGCGAGAGCTCATAAGTACATTTATTACAATGGCTCTGCCTTGTAAAGTCAGTTGTCTTCGAAGCCAAGAATTTAATAGCATTTGTATTTTTAGTATTTTCTTTTCCCAATTTAGTGTTTCACACAGTGTTTTATCCGTACCAAAGTAAATGCCTAGTATTTCTATACAATCTCTCTTAACTTTAACCGGGAGTTGGATTAAAAAATCACGAAACCTATTTTTGCCCAATAACAAAATTTCAGATTTTTCAATGTTGATTTTGGCACCCGTTGCCTGACAATATAGGTTGACTGTGCGAAAAGATTCAGCAGCAGAGCTCACATTTGAGACAGTGATTGTGGTGTCATCAGCATGTTGATAGATTAAAGATGAAATGTTTTTGATTTTGATACCTTGAATGAGAGGGTTGTGTTTTATCAACAAATTTAATGGTTCTGATATAAGAACAAATAACATCGAGCTCATCGGATCTCCCTGCCTTACTCCACGTGATAATTTGAAATATGGACTTAAATGTCCATTACACTTGACAGAACTTTTAATGTCTGTATATAAAATTTTTACCCAAGTTATAAAATGATCCCCAAAATTGAATTTCTGTAAAATATCTAACATGTAACTGTGTGAAACTCTGTCAAAAGCTTTCTCTTGATCTATTTTGATCAAAAACGCATCCTCATCTTCATGATCAACAATATCAACTATATCTCTCAAAGAATGTAAATTGTGCGCAATGTCTCTCCCAGGTACACAACATGTTTGTTCAGGGGAGATAATATCTGACAATACAGACTTTAGTCTTAATGACAATGTGCGTGATATTAATTTACAATCAACATTAATTAGTGAAATAGGTCTGTAACATTTTATATCCTTTTTATCACCTTTTTTTTTTATAGAACAAACTAATGACGCTAGCTTTCATAGAACGAGATAATTCCTTCTCTTCAAAAATACTCTTAGTGACATGATGAAAAAGAGGACATAAAATCTCCCAAAACCTCAGGTAAAATTCAACAGTCAGACCATCAGGACCTGGAGTTTTGTTACGTTTCATTCCTTTCAGTGCATCTGTCATTTGTTCTACAGAAATAGGAAGATCACAATATTCTTTCTGTTCATCATTGATAGATTTGTGTATCATATTTACAACTTCCTGTTCCTTATAATAATCAAGTGCTTCATTTGTGTATAACTTTTCATAGAAAGATTGTGCAGCGTTTACAATGTCTTCCGTCGTTCGCAACAATGTTCCATCTTCAGCAATGAGCTCTTTGATCGAGTTAGCTTGTTGCTTGGATTTTTCAAATTCAAAAATATGAAGTGCATCGATCTGACTCAAGAGTCAATTGTGCTTTTGATCTTAAAATAGCACCCTTGCAAGTAATATTGTCATAATCTTCCATTTTCTTTTCTAAATCACACAGTTGTGTAGATTCATAACCAGGTATAGTAGCTAATTTGTGATATTCATTTCGAAGTTTATTTTGAGTTTTGTAATAATCAGTCTTTGCCAACTTACTTCGTTTACTAGAATAATATTTTGAGAACTTTTTCATTTGATATTTCAAGTTGTCCCACCAGATGAGTGGTTCTGTTTCAAAAAGTGGACAAGTTTGAGCTTCCTCAACAATGCTATGAATTTTATAAAAAAATATACCATCTTCCAAAAGCTCATTATTAAAAATCCAAATTCCAGGACCTCTTTCGATATCACTCAAATCAAGTTTAAGTGACACAATGTTGTGATCACTTATCTTGCAGTATTTAATATAACAATTTATGGTATTGTTTAAAAGATGTCTAGACAAAAGAAAAAAATCAATTCTGGATTGTTTTAAAACACCATTTACACTTTGGATTCTGGAGAATTCCTTTTTATCATAATTTTTGTGTCTCCAAACGTCAACCATGCTATGCTGTTGAATGATAGAAGTCAGAGCATCACTGCTTTTAAGATTAAATGTTTTGTTGTTTATGCCCTTGTCCAACGTAGGATTTAGTATATCATTAAAATCTCCTCCCACAATCATATTATTTGGTTCTATCCACTTTTCCAGTTCTTTATAAAATGTTAACCTTTCATCGAGGCCATTAGGAGCATATACATTCAATAAGTAATATGTTTTACCATCCACATCAACTTCTGCTTTTAATAGTCTGCCCTCAGAATCTCTCGTTACCATGTTAATTTGGTATTGACAGTTTTGCGATACCAAAATAGCTACACCCCTGCGATTTACACTTGTTGAATTGCAAAATAAGATTTTTCCGGGGAACATATGTTTATAGTTATTGACAAAATTTTCATCCCAGAACGTCTCCTGTAGAAATGCTATGTCTACATGTGACGTGTTGATAAGTGCTAATACTTGTTCAAACTTTCTCACATCTCTTAGACCATTTACATTCCATGACCATATGTTCAACATGATGAGAAGTAATAAATACATATGAAGCATCAAGATTTGTTTTAACGTGATCTTTTTCCCTTTCTGGATTTTATCACATCCTTCTTTTTTTTCTAGGAGGCCTTCCCCACACATGAGCCTTAATAACATCCTCACTAGGTTTCAAGACATTCCATTTGCCTCTCACACTTCCTGGAGCACCATCTCCTCGATAAGGCTGTGCCAGAACATTGTGATTGTCTTCTGTGGGAACTACCATCACATCACGATCATCAACATGTATATAATTGTCATTTGTTTCATGCTCAACTAGTCTTATCATGTTTAACAGTGTGCTTGTGACATCGTCTATGATACTGTTATCACAAGGAGATACACGTTGTTTGGTATCACTCCTGCACTTACCAACATGAATGCTTCTATCAATTGTTTCTAGTAAAATGTCAAAGACAAAGTCATGTGTTTCTTTGTCCAACTGTGACACAGAAACATCTTCTACCAATTCTTCAATGTCCTGCTCAGTGGTTGTCACAATCCTTTCTTCCTCTTCTTCTTCTTCGCCTTCTTCTTCCAGCTCCTGAAGAACTGGCCACTTGGCTAGTGTCGCATCCGCCTCCATGTCACTCATGTCATCCTCATTTTCATAATCACCACCTTGACAATTATCATCATTTTCTTCAGACATATCATCATAGCCAAAGCAGTTGCAGTCCTTAGGTTTACGTTTGCACCTGTGGCATTTGGGAACACGGCAATTGTATTGAACATGTCCTGCGGATCCACAGTTTCTGCACACAATGTTCGGGCAGTTCCTTTTCTCATGCTGATCAGAAAGACAATGATGACATACTTTCACCTGATCATTATGGAGAACTCTGAAGAAGTCAAATCCTCCATGCGTTTTAAATTTAATGCTGTATGGAAGACTATGAATTCCTGTGGGAAACTTTACCTGTGTGTACCTGGTTCCATCTTCCCAGTTAGTACCAGGAATTTTTCGTCTGCGGATGGTGTCAACTTCATATACTCCAAACGAATGTAGAACTTCCGTTATTTCTCCATCTGTTGTGTAGCTGGGCAAGTTCATGAATGACACAACAACTTTGTCATTTACTAAAGGTGTGATATCATACACCTCATTGTTGACAATTAGCCCATCACCCAGTGATTTTACGAGCGAATTCTCCGCTAAGGTAATTTCATAATAATTGTGTCTTGGTGTGCAACAATAAACAGTGTTGTCCCCCAATTCAAGTTCAAGAGCATTGCATACGTCAAACGCTTTCGGGCGAACATGACTCCCAAACTGCACTCGAATAACGTTCTCTTTCTGATAGACACGAGGTCGGCCATTTTCCTTGTTTACCTGACTAGGGGGTGGCCTTTGCCCCCCAGCCTGGTGGCTCATAGTCTACTTTTTCAATAAACAAACGTTTCCGACTAACCATAAACCATAATGTACCATTTGTTCAAGAGATGAGACAGGAATCTTCACAACCGATGAAGTACTTACTGAAAATATCAGAGCACTGCAAATCACCGTGTTCACACCACCTCACCACCAGGGAGGTAAAACGTGACCACTTGGCATGCCCTTTTCTGTGAGAGACACAGAGCTGTCACTGTACATTTCCATACATATTCAAATTCCCAACAGAAATGGAGAGCAATATACTACCAAGAACATCCGTCATACATACAGGCATTGGTGGCATTGACGAACATGTGTACAGGAACGTGAAGAAGGAGGGCAGTAAAACAGTTCTTTTAAAACTTTACAGTCAAAAAGTATCTCTCCCCGGCCGGGAATTGAACCCGGGTCTCCCGCGTGACAGGCGGGGATACTGACCACTATACTACCGAGGATTGGCTGAAAGCAAGACGGCAAAATAGCAGGCTGTACAGTGGAGGGCATACTCCAGCTATCATCCAAGTTGAAACATACACACGCTAAAACGTGACCACTTGGCATGCCCTTTTCTGTGAGAGACACAGAGCTGTCACTGTACATTTCCATACATATTCAAATTCCCAACAGAAATGGAGAGCAATATACTACCAAGAACATCCGTCATACATACAGGCATTGGTGGCATTGACGAACATGTGTACAGGAACGTGAAGAAGGAGGGCAGTAAAACAGTTCTTTTAAAATTTACAGTCAAAAAGTATCTCTCCCGGCCGGGAATTGAACCCGGGTCTCCCGCGTGACAGGCGGGGATACTGACCACTATACTACCGAGGATTGGCTGAAAGCAACACGGCAAAATAGCAGGCTGTACAGTGGAGGGCATACTCCAGCTATCATCCAAGTTGAAACATACACACGCTAAAACGTGACCACTTGGCATGCCCTTTTCTGTGAGAGACACAGAGCTGTCACTGTACATTTCCATACATATTCAAATTCCCAACAGAAATGGAGAGCAATATACTACCAAGAACATCCGTCATACATACAGGCATTGGTGGCATTGACGAACATGTGTACAGGAACGTGAAGAAGGAGGGCAGTAAAACAGTTCTTTTAAAAATTTACAGTCAAAAAGTATCTCTCCCCGGCCGGGAATTGAACCCGGGTCCTCCCGCGTGACAGGCGGGGATACTGACCACTATACTACCGAGGATTGGCTGAAAGCAACACGGCAAAATAGCAGGCTGTACAGTGGAGGGCATACTCCAGCTATCATCCAAGTTGAAACATACACACGCTAAAACGTGACCACTTGGCATGCCCTTTTCTGTGAGAGACACAGAGCTGTCACTGTACATTTCCATACATATTCAAATTCCCAACAGAAATGGAGAGCAATATACTACCAAGAACATCCGTCATACATACAGGCATTGGTGGCATTGACGAACATGTGTACAGGAACGTGAAGAAGGAGGGCAGTAAAACAGTTCTTTTAAAAATTTACAGTCAAAAAGTATCTCTCCCCGGCCGGGAATTGAACCCGGGTCTCCCGCGTGACAGGCGGGGATACTGACCACTATACTACCGAGGATTGGCTGAAAGCAACACGGCAAAATAGCAGGCTGTACAGTGGAGGGCATACTCCAGCTATCATCCAAGTTGAAACATACACACGCTAAAACGTGACCACTTGGCATGCCCTTTTCTGTGAGAGACACAGAGCTGTCACTGTACATTTCCATACATATTCAAATTCCCAACAGAAATGGAGAGCAATATACTACCAAGAACATCCGTCATACATACAGGCATTGGTGGCATTGACGAACATGTGTACAGGAACGTGAAGAAGGAGGGCAGTAAAACAGTTCTTTTAAAATTTACAGTCAAAAAGTATCTCTCCCCGGCCGGGAATTGAACCCGGGTCTCCCGCGTGACAGGCGGGGATACTGACCACTATACTACCGAGGATTGGCTGAAAGCAACACGGCAAAATAGCAGGCTGTACAGTGGAGGGCATACTCCAGCTATCATCAAGTTGAAACATACACACGCTAAAACGTGACCACTTGGCATGCCCTTTTCTGTGAGAGACACAGAGCTGTCACTGTACATTTCCATACATATTCAAATTCCCAACAGAAATGGAGAGCAATATACTACCAAGAACATCCGTCATACATACAGGCATTGGTGGCATTGACGAACATGTGTACAGGAACGTGAAGAAGGAGGGCAGTAAAACAGTTCTTTTAAAATTTACAGTCAAAAAGTATCTCTCCCCGGCCGGGAATTGAACCCGGGTCTCCCGCGTGACAGGCGGGGATACTGACCACTATACTACCGAGGATTGGCTGAAAGCAACACGGCAAAATAGCAGGCTGTACAGTGGAGGGCATACTCCAGCTATCATCCAAGTTGAAACATACACACGCTAAAACGTGACCACTTGGCATGCCCTTTTCTGTGAGAGACACAGAGCTGTCACTGTACATTTCCATACATATTCAAATTCCCAACAGAAATGGAGAGCAATATACTACCAAGAACATCCGTCATACATACAGGCATTGGTGGCATTGACGAACATGTGTACAGGAACGTGAAGAAGGAGGGCAGTAAAACAGTTCTTTTAAAATTTACAGTCAAAAAGTATCTCTCCCCGGCCGGGAATTGAACCCGGGTCTCCCGCGTGACAGGCGGGGATACTGACCACTATACTACCGAGGATTGGCTGAAAGCAACACGGCAAAATAGCAGGCTGTACAGTGGAGGGCATACTCCAGCTATCATCCAAGTTGAAACATACACACGCTAAAACGTGACCACTTGGCATGCCCTTTTCTGTGAGAGACACAGAGCTGTCACTGTACATTTCCATACATATTCAAATTCCCAACAGAAATGGAGAGCAATATACTACCAAGAACATCCGTCATACATACAGGCATTGGTGGCATTGACGAACATGTGTACAGGAACGTGAAGAAGGAGGGCAGTAAAACAGTTCTTTTAAAATTTACAGTCAAAAAGTATCTCTCCCCGGCCGGGAATTGAACCCGGGTCTCCCGCGTGACAGGCGGGGATACTGACCACTATACTACCGAGGATTGGCTGAAAGCAACACGGCAAAATAGCAGGCTGTACAGTGGAGGGCATACTCCAGCTATCATCCAAGTTGAAACATACACACGCTAAAACGTGACCACTTGGCATGCCCTTTTCTGTGAGAGACACAGAGCTGTCACTGTACATTTCCATACATATTCAAATTCCCAACAGAAATGGAGAGCAATATACTACCAAGAACATCCGTCATACATACAGGCATTGGTGGCATTGACGAACATGTGTACAGGAACGTGAAGAAGGAGGGCAGTAAAACAGTTCTTTTAAAATTTACAGTCAAAAAGTATCTCTCCCCGGCCGGGAATTGAACCCGGGTCTCCCGCGTGACAGGCGGGGATACTGACCACTATACTACCGAGGATTGGCTGAAAGCAACACGGCAAAATAGCAGGCTGTACAGTGGAGGGCATACTCCAGCTATCATCAAGTTGAAACATACACACGCTAAAACGTGACCACTTGGCATGCCCTTTTCTGTGAGAGACACAGAGCTGTCACTGTACATTTCCATACATATTCAAATTCCCAACAGAAATGGAGAGCAATATACTACCAAGAACATCCGTCATACATACAGGCATTGGTGGCATTGACGAACATGTGTACAGGAACGTGAAGAAGGAGGGCAGTAAAACAGTTCTTTTAAAAATTTACAGTCAAAAAAAAGTATCTCTCCCCGGCCGGGAATTGAACCCGGGTCTCCCGCGTGACAGGCGGGGATACTGACCACTATACTACCGAGGATTGGCTGAAAGCAACACGGCAAAATAGCAGGCTGTACAGTGGAGGGCATACTCCAGCTATCATCCAAGTTGAAACATACACACGCTAAAACGTGACCACTTGGCATGCCCTTTTCTGTGAGAGACACAGAGCTGTCACTGTACATTTCCATACATATTCAAATTCCCAACAGAAATGGAGAGCAATATACTACCAAGAACATCCGTCATACATACAGGCATTGGTGGCATTGACGAACATGTGTACAGGAACGTGAAGAAGGAGGGCAGTAAAACAGTTCTTTTAAAATTTACAGTCAAAAAAGTATCTCTCCCCGGCCGGGAATTGAACCCGGGTCTCCCGCGTGACAGGCGGGGATACTGACCACTATACTACCGAGGATTGGCTGAAAGCAACACGGCAAAATAGCAGGCTGTACAGTGGAGGGCATACTCCAGCTATCATCCAAGTTGAAACATACACACGCTAAAACGTGACCACTAAATGGCATGCCCTTTTCTGTGAGAGACACAGAGCTGTCACTGTACATTTCCATACATATTCAAATTCCCAACAGAAATGGAGAGCAATATACTACCAAGAACATCCGTCATACATACAGGCATTGGTGGCATTGACGAACATGTGTACAGGAACGTGAAGAAGGAGGGCAGTAAAACAGTTCTTTTAAAATTTACAGTCAAAAAGTATCTCTCCCCGGCCGGGAATTGAACCCGGGTCTCCCGCGTGACAGGCGGGGATACTGACCACTATACTACCGAGGATTGGCTGAAAGCAACACGGCAAAATAGCAGGCT